TAGTAATAGTAATAGTAATAGTAATATTTGAAACAGCTTATATCCTGCCATGATACCTTTCACACCATCAGACAGCAACACCTGCCCATCCCAGGTCTTTGGGAAGGACTTGATAGTCGGAAAAAAATGCCAAATCCAGGCTAAACATCTGGCTGACTGTGCGACCCACCATAATAATAATAGTCCTTCTTCTTCCTCCTCTTCCTCCTCCTTCCTTCCTCCCCTCCTCCTTCTCCTCCTTCCTTCCTCCCCTCCTCCTCCTCCTCCTTCTTCTTCCTCCTCCTCCTCCTCCTCCTCCTCCTCCCTCTCCTCCCTTCCCTTCCCCTCCTCCTCTTCTTCCTCCTCCTCTATTTTCTTCCTATTATTAGTCACTACCCATCAGCACATGAAGCTCAGGAATAAATAAGAAACCCTCCGGCCAGGAATAAAGTTGCATTCCTGACACCTGGCCAAGGGTGGCCTGACCGCGGCCAGGGTCCGGTCCTGAGGGAGTAAGGGGGCCGCCCATCTCCTGCTGCCGGGGATGAGCACCGCGGCAGAGGTTCTGGCGGCCAGGCGCTGCAGGCTCCGCGTCTTCTGCCTCTCGCTGATCGCCGACCAGGTGAGGAAGGACCACGATGCCGAGGAGACCATCGACCATCAGGGCGTGCTGGAAGCACGCTGAAAGCAAGCCAGAGGCGAATCGCTAGCCTACAGGCCCTCCTCACAGGGCTGGTGGGGAGGCTGGATTGCCACAGCGGCAGCGCCACGGAAGAGCCCAAGGGGTCTTCAGCAAGCCTGAAGCGGCACAGGGGGAACTTGCGAATCAGGCAGGAGCAGGGCAGCTGGACGCCGGCTGCCCCACAGAGCCCTGCCTGAATGTGCCCTCCCCGCATGATGTCTTCCTCACCCAGCGGTGGCGGCGGGGAATGATGGGAGAGGCAGTCCAAGGCCCTGGGCTGGGCAAGGCGAATTCTCTTCACTGTATTTTATATGTCCGCCTGTCTCCCTTTGCAAAATCCACTCCTGCAGGGAGACCCATCTAAGCTGTTTGATAATCCCTGTAGGAGGAAATAAAAGCTTATTTGAAAAATAAAGCCCCACGCCCATTTTTCTTGCAGTCTGAGCCTTCCGCAGGCCGCGTGCCCGTAGTGCCGCAGTCCTCTCGGAGCAGGAAACTCAGCACGGCAGGGAAACAAACCCTCCGAGCTCCTGTGGTGAGTGGGGGCAGGAACGGTTGCGAGATCGTTTCTCGCTCCTTTTCGGGAGCGCAGCTGGGCCTCCGCTCTCCCCGTCCAAAGGTGAAGATGAGCCTTTCTTCAGCTAAGGGTGACGCCCGGTGACTCCATGTGGTTTTGCTGGCAGCAGAAGAGGTTTGCTTCTTCTGAGATGACTTTTTGACTTTCCACTCTGCAGTGGCCCCTGAGACTTCCTGGTGGTCTCCTATCCAAGCCAAGCCAACTCTCTTTACCTTCTTCACCTGAGATCGAGTAGATGCTGCCCCCTAGCTGGGCCTTCCCT